TTCAATGGGGTACCATTTTACCCTCACATTTTTTTTTAAATTTAGGGGATGACACCCCCACCTGGAGCATTGGGGACTTCGCAATGGTTTTTGGGTCAAAACTTGTCCCATCCACGAACAAATTTGACGTGTTTTTAAATTTTTTTCGAAAAATTCTTACACAGGCAATGTTCTTTTTATTTGTTAAAAAACCTATTTTGGCGTGAACTAATTTTTTGACGTAGCATGGTGGAAAAAGTAATAATTACGTCTTTATAGATAACTTTTTGAATGAAAGAAATTGGAACCAAATTCCTACCGGAGAAAGAAAAATACTTTCATGAATCTATTTTCAGTTCTCAGGCGATAAAACTTTTGTTTTCTTGATGAAAAACAACAGGATTTTTGTGGGATTTGTGGTATGTTCTGACTAGAGAATTTCTCACCAAGCATGTATAAATAGCCTCAATTGGTTTTCTTCCATTTCAGAGTTGAATCGCGGTAGCATCATGTTAACTTCAGTATTGATTTTTAATTTCGTTTGTAGTGCACTTTGTGTTGGCGTTCCTGATATTACCTCCACCAAGGTAAGCAAATAGTAAATTGGGGTTTATGATAACCGACTTCATAATTTCGAATGTTCATCAAAATCAATTGTTTTTCAGAGGTGTAGTCAGCGATCAAACTTGTTTGAGAAACGAATGCACATTTAGGTGAAATATATAAAAAATTATTCTTCAGAAGATCACATTTTTTCGACTGTTTTTTGAGTTTGTAACTTTTTACAATCTGGAAAATTGACAAAGCTGAATCAATGAAGAATATGCTGAAGTGTGAAAGAGAGTAAACTGAAAAGTTGACTCCGGAAAGAAACTGCATACTATAAACCACTGATGAGTCCACTCAGTTAGTAACATGTCGTATTCATAAATTCTGCCTAATGAATGAATAATAGATGAAAAAAAAGATTCTACCTACCTTTCTACAGATGACTGAAAATTTTCCATTTTCATAATAAAAACCCCAAATTTCCTTGTGGAAAACGCTCCCAATCGGCGAAAGGTATATCTTCTGTGGAGAGCTTTTTATAGAAATTCAATTTATATCATATTAGAAAATGGCAGTCCGAACTGAAGAAATGCACCACAAAACATTGTCATCCACCTTCAAACAAACGTTCAATTATTTTTTATACATCAATCAATTTGTATACAAAACTTATGAATATAACAAGTTACTGAATAATTCTACACTTCCGTGATTGATATTTGGCACTAACTTCTTGAAATGAACTTTTCAGTTTTTTTCATAACAGCTCAGCAGATTCTCCATTGATACAGCTCCGTTCAATTTTCAGATTGAGGGAGATTAAAAACTCACAAAATATTAAGAAACATTGACTCCTCTCTGAAAAATGTATTTCAAAGAATATATTTCATGAGAATATATGTTGTTTAACTAATTCGATACATCAAAGATATGTGAAAGAGCTTTCTTTGTGATCCTTTCCAGATTTCGATAAGAAAGATGGAACAGATGGTCTACTTACCTTCAACGTTCATCTTTTTTGTTTGAAGTTTGAATTGCTGAAAATCATTGATGGAGATAATATGTCCCAAGTATTAGATTGCAATGTCATATTGACATTTTTGAACTTTTTTAAATTTCTGCGGTAAATCCTGATGAAATCAGTTGATAATTTAGTCAAAATCGAGTACATTGTATTTGAAAATACAATCCGCATCAGTGAACTGGAATGAGTATTCACATCAGAGAAAAATGTTTCATTTTGAACATATTCAAAATTCTTTCTGAACACGATTCATTTGAAAGCCCTGAGTTACGTAATGAGATATAAACAATGATATAGAAACAGAAATGTAAGTAGAATATTCATAATAATGAATTCTAAGATTTTGTTAGCGAATAAAATGGCATGTCTGCTATAATAATGTTCAGCACATACAAAACTTTTGCATTGCTTGCAAAATTACTTTGATTAACGATCTTTATTTCGACAACATAAATAGCAAGGTCTTTCATAGGCTGCTTCTATTTGCATCTTCACCGGCGCCAACTCTGGTACGATATATTGCATGTACTGCTTCAATGTCTTACTTAATCGTACTCCCTCATTATATCGCCTGATGATATTTTCTTTCACTAAAGCTTCTTCTAGATTTAGTGAAAAGTAGCGTCTATCGTCTTTTTCTCTAGTTTTTTTCAGTTACTTGATACCCCATAAGATGTAAGTGTTAAGGCCAGAAATATTCAATATTTGGCCAAACACTGACATTGGCCAACGGTTGCATATTCTTCGAGCAGAGAATTGTTTTACCATCTTATCTGTAGTATCTACTGCACCTTTTGTATTATTATAATGCAGTATAATATCTGGCTTGCTTTTCGATGTTTTATCAGCAACAGCATCATCATGATGTTCAGGTGATAGTAGAATAACCGATTTGCCTTCATTGGGAACATAAAAAACCATAGTATGGTCTTTTGTAAAAGCAAACATGCTGGAATATACGGGCTTGAACGATTTCGGTAGCAACTCGTTAGGAATACATGCTTTATTTTTTCGCAAAATACCACAAAGGCTTAGTCCTTTTTGTGATACTTTTTCGGCCAGTGGTGAGCTTGTAAAAAAAATCTGTAGCTATGCCATACCCAGAGCCAAGTGGTTCAATAAGGTCGAGGACAACAATAAAACAGATGGCACAGATTCTCACGCGGGTAATGAGTGTATCCCAAGCTGAATATATTGCATTTATTGTTAATTTAACAAATCGTTGCCGATTTCATGAACCGTATACTATTTGCAATACCCCAAACGACACAAAATTAAATTAGCCAAATAGGACGGGCGCTAATTTTAAAATTATAACAAAAATTATGTATCTGGGGCACAGCTATACCCCGCCCGGTAAGACAAAGGTTAACAACTACAAAGACTTGGGAGTATTCTTTGAAAACAAACTCTCACTCGCACTTCACATAAAGAAAAGTGTAACTGCTCCTTATATTTGAAAATTGTTAATATTTCAGAAACATGGAAAGTTTCATTACTCTCTTCAACTCGTTTGTTCGATACTGTTTCGAATATGGCTGTCTTACTTGGTCACCTACGAGTATAAATACTACACATACATTCGCTTAGATCTGCCCAACGACGATTTATGAAATGTGTCATCTACAAACCAGTTAATGTCTACCCCAGACAGCGAATAGATAATAATTTATTGTCAAAGCGTTCCAAACAAAATAGAGTGTCAACATGTGGTGAGGACTTTAATATGTAGAACCCCCTGGGCAATATTTTCACATTAGTACCTTAACACGACGGCAAAATTCAGATTTCCTGTTGAGCACCTTCCCTGGGATATAAGAACGTATCCCATATCCGAACGAACCATGATGATATGGCAACAATATGGTGTTCGTTGTCATAATTTCCACAGTACTTCTCAACATTTTGATGATACATATGCTCAGACAAGAAAACAGGGATTCAAAGCTCTGACCAGCTCGTTTCCCTGATATGACCCCACCAATTTTTTTCTATGTGTTGTCTAGGAGAAATTGTACACTAAGTGCCTTCAGTAAATTAGGAGGATCTCAACAATCGAAACCTATGATCATATTTTTCTGTTCTAGGAAACACATCATAGGATAGAAAGCTTGCCAGCTATATATCAGCAGAGTATTCCATATATGTGATAGTGTTACGGTTTGGATGGTCCACCCCGTAACTGATCTGGGTTTTGATAAACATGTTATTTTCTGGTCGTGTGTATGTGTTGGTATTTCGGAATTGTACGTTTTTCTCTATTGTGCAATAAGAATTGAAGTAATGTAACTTATTTACTTGACTTACAACAATAGGAAAGGGCACTGAAGTGGGAACTCGGGTAAGAACGTTATGTAGGAGTAGAATGTGGTGGTATATTATAGATAGTTGAGTGCTTCATCGTTAAGGAGGAATTGGTTTTCATCGTTGTCTCTGCTCCTGGTTGTGGAAGAGTCTAATATCTGTGGGGAGAAGCATTTCAAAGCGATATTAGGAAGAGCTTTTCGCCAATAATATTCACTACAGGGCGAATAAAATACTGTTTAAGCAATTGTGCCTTTTCCTTCGTTACTTATTTCGGATACGAGAGGTTTTGTTGACGTAAGGACCCTCAAGAGGGTACCAGTGAGGGGGTCACTATTCCTGATTGAACTTGATGTGGAAGTTATTGAAGTAGTCATTTGCTCCTACATGCAATATTGCTGTAAATCGTATCCCAAGTGGAATCGGCAGCTCTCAACTCGATTTTCCGTCTGAATTCTCCGGAGAAAACCGTAGAACTTGTAGTTGTTGGGAATGCTGATTTTTTCAAATTGCACGTTTTGAAATGGCCTTCCAGGTTTATTCAATTATTAGCCGATACTATTTTATTTAAGCCCTCTGGTTCGTTAATTTAAGCAAGGACAAAAAATAAAGATATAAGATTACACTTGAAATAAGAAAAATAGGGATTTTGAAGAGCCGTGTAAGCGACAACGTGCCGTCACTGCGGCGCGTTAGCTGAGTTTGTTTTGCTTTTTTTTGTTGTGATAGGGTTTCCATTTGAAAAAAAAGTTAGTAGTTTTTTATGAACTTCATTGAATACAAAAATTCCAATGATTAGAAGAAGACATTCTGAAGTATTTCAATGGCACCTTGGTTTCAATTTTCTAGCTTCACAAAAAACGAAGTTATCGCTTGTCAACTGAAATCTGGGACACTCTTGTAACATCGGAATGGGTATGAGTTGAAAAAAAAAAGAAATATGCACTAGTGAGCATATGAGAGCGCCAGATTTTCTTATAGAACTATGACAGAAGATCGATATGTAGTAATTTGTTCTGGTACGTCTCAAAAAGACCGCTCACCCGACTTCTAATGGAAAATCATTCTAGTAGTTTTTTGTGATTTTAAAATCGTTATTCTTTCCAATTTTTTGTGTTGTACTTTCATCTGAGGAATATTTTAGGACCATGGGCATATTCGGGATATAAGCCCTGGCTTACATGAGTTGGATAAAACGAAGGATAATGAATTCATATTGACGAAACTATTCGATATTCGCCTGGAAGGAGGATATGAAAATTTACACCCTGATCTTCAAGGAGTTATACAATCACAAGTGCACCCAGAAGGTAAGCATCAGCACAAAAGAATTACTCATAGTCTAAGCAAACAAGTTGAAACACGTAAAAAATAGATATAAAGCTCCTAAATATATGAGAAAGGACTCATTCGACTTGGAATGAGCCCTAGAGGAATGTATTCGAAAAATTTCACAGTGGGTAAAAAATTATAATTGTCATAAACAAAATAATCGAGGAAAACTGGGGTATATCGGCTTTTTGTTAATAACATTGAAACTATGAATATTTGAGGAATGAAACAAAAATATTTTCGAAAAGAAGGAAATTTTCTCTGAAAAATTACCTCCAATGTTTATAATTCCCGATTCAACGCCGTAAATAGGCCTAGCCGCTGAAAAGAGCATTTCAACAAAAATATTTTTCACATTAAATATTCATTTGAAAATTTGAATATAATGGCTCTTCCAACAGTTCGAAGAATAAGCTTCTGTTGAAAAAACAAGTATTCCCATTTTTCACGAAGTTATCATCAAATCTCTGCTATGATCGCCTCGCGGAACTCCTCTTATATGCATTCTCAAAAAGATTATGGGATGGAAGTTTATAAATGTTAGTAGATGAGCAAAGAGACTTCTGGACCACTTGGGAGTGGGGGTAACCTATCAGCGTCATCGAAATCGACGCAGGATGGAACGAGTATAGTAGCGATTTAAGCGTGGAACTCCGCCCCTCGGCCCCCTTGGTACTCCACCTAACCTATCGGCCCCCTTGGTACTCCACCTAACCTATCAGCTCCCTCGGCCCCTTCAGTCACGTGATTTTAAATAAAAAAAGTTTATAGTTATGAGATTCGAACCTGGGTCGTCCGCGCCGTAGACATTGTCCTTAGCCTCTACACCATCGTAAGATATTGAAGTTAACTGCGAATGTTGGGTATTTATAGCGTTAGTTTTGTCGGGACCGAAATTGACTCATTCATTATACTTGACAGCATTTTTATTTTTGATTTCCGTAGAATGTAATCGTCATTATCATATTGAAGATAGGAAAATATACTTAGATTTGGGAAATAATTAA